TTGTAGCGGGAGCAGCCGTGACTGCTGGCGGAATAGCTGTTGTAGCGGGAGCAGCCGTGACTGCTGGCGGAGTAGCTGTTGTTGCAGGAGCAGCTGTGACTGCTGGCGGAGTAGTTGTTGTTGCAGGAGCAGCCGTGACTGCTGGCGGAGTAGCTGTTGTTGCAGGAGCAGCCGTGACTGCTGGCGGAGTTGTTGCAGGAGCAGCCGTGACTGCTGGCGGAGTAGCTGTTGTTGCAGGAGCAGCTGTGACTGCTGGCGGAGTAGCTGTTGTTGCAGGAGCAGCCGTGACTGCTGGCGGAGTAGCTGTTGTTGCAGGAGCAACCGTGACTGCTGGCGGAGTAGCTGTTGTTGCAGGAGCAACCGTGACTGCTGGCGGAGTAGCTGTTGTTGCAGGAGCAACCGTGACTGCTAGCGAAGTAGCTGTTGTTGCAGGAGCAGCCGTGACCGCTGGCGGAGTAGCTGTTGCTGCAAGAGCAACCGTGACTGCAGGCGGAGTAGCTGTTGTTGCGGGAGCAACCGTGACTGCTGGCGGAGTAGTTGTTGTTGCAGGAGCAACCGTGACTGCTAGCGAAGTAGTTGTTGTTGCAGGAGCAGCCGTGACTGCTGGCGGAGTAGCTGTTGGTGCAGGAGTAGCCGTCACTACTGATGCAGCAGCTGTTGTCATTAGTGGGACAGACATTGCTGTTAACGATGGGACAGTTTGGATTATCGGAGAAACACTTGCTGCCACTGGTGGAGCAGCTGTTATTACTGGTGGAGCATCCGTTGTCATTGAAGAAGCAGTTGTTATTACCGGTAAAGTAACTGGAGTCGACGATAGGGTGTCTGCAAAATACAGTCTAGATAAGTGCGTGGTCGCATCGCTTTCCTGCAATTCATACACGCAACATACAAAATGAATGAAAAGTAAACAGAGCAAACATGACTACCTCCTACAGTGTAAATTACACACAAAAATCCTGCAGAACACTGCTTCTTCTTGATACGACGGCGTTTGTATTTTATTGTCATTTTGTTGGAGGCAATGATGGAATTCTCCGGCTTCTTCGTCGAGCAGTACTTAACCCTGCAGTTGAAGTGGCAAAGGCATCAGTGAGAACGAGTCTTTTTATAACTAGTTTGCTTCGAAGTTACTGCGTAGTTCTGTTGCAAATGCGTTATCGTAACGCGTTTTAAACTTTCCTCGCAAGCCACTCATTTCCACACACAGAAACGTGCCCAAACACACATATATACAAATATATATCCATACATATACACATTTTTAAATGAATATATATACACATACTTGTGTTTGTGTACTAGCGTGTGTGTATATACATATACACATGTGTATATGTATATACATATATATATATATATATATATATATATATATATATATATATATATATATATATACATATATATATACATATATATATATATATATATATATATATATATATATATATATATATATATAATATGCGTGTGTGTGTGTGTGTGTGTGTGTGTGTGTGTGTGTGTGTGTGTGTTGCAGGAGCAACCGTGACTGCAGGCGGAGTAGCTGTTGTTGCAGGAGCAACCGTGACTGCTGGCGGAGTAGCTGTTGTTGCAGGAGCAGCCGTGACCGCTGGCGGAGTAGCTGTTGCTGCAAGAGCAACCGTGACTGCAGGCGGAGTAGCTGTTGTTGCGGGAGCAACCGTGACTGCTGGCGGAGTAGTTGTTGTTGCAGGAGCAACCGTGACTGCTGGCGGAGTAGTTGTTGTTGCAGGAGCAGCCGTGACTGCTGGCGGAGTAGCTGTTGTTGCAGGAGCAGCCGTGACTGCTGGCGGAGTAGCTGTTGTTGCAGGAGCAACCGTGACTGCAGGCGGAGTAGCTGTTGTTGCAGGAGCAGCCGTGACTGCTGGCGGAGTAGCTGTTGTTGCAGGAGCAACCGTGACTGCTGGCGGAGTAGCTGTTGTTGCAGGAGCAGCCGTGACTGCTGGCGGAGTAGCTGTTTGTTGCAGGAGCAGCCGTGACTGCTGGCGGAGTAGCTGTTGTTGCAGGAGCAACCGTGACTGCTGGCGGAAGTAGCTGTTGTTGCAGGAGCAACCGTGACTGCTAGGCGGAGTAGCTGTTGTTGCAGGAGCAACCGTGAACTGCTGGCGGAGTAGCTGTTGTTGCAGGAGCAACCGTGACTGCAGGCGGAGTAGTTGTTGTTGCAGGAGCAACCGTGACTGCTGGCGGAAGTAGCTGTTGTTGCAGGAGCAGCTGTGACTGCTGCGGAGTAGCTGTTTGTTGCAGGAGCAGCCGTGACTGCTGGCGGAGTAGCTGTTGTTGCGGAGCAACGTGACTGCTGGCGGAGTAGCTGTTGTTGCAGGAGCAGCGTGACTGCTGCGGAGTAGCTGTTGTTGCAGGAGCAGCCGTGACTGCTGGCGGAATAGTTGTTGTTGCAGGAGCAACCGTGACTGCTAGGCGGAAGCTAGTTGTTGCAGGAGCAGCCGTGACTGCTGGCGGGAGTAGTTGTTGTTGCAGGAGCAGCCGTGACTGCTGGCGAGTAGTTGTTTGCAGGAGCAGCCGTGACTGCTGGCGGAGTAGCTGTTGTTGCAGGAGCAGCCGTGACTGCAGGCGGAGTAGCTTGTTGTTGCAGGAGCAACCGTGACTGCTGGCGGAGTAGCTGTTGTTGCAGGAGCCAGCCGTGACTGCTGGCGGAGTAGTTGTGTTGCAGGAGCAACCGTGACTAGCTGGCGGAATAGCGTTGTTGCGGGAGCAACGCTGTGACTGCTGCGGAGTAGCTGTTGTTGCAGGAGCAACCGTGACTGCTGGCGGAGTAGCTGTTGTTGCAGGAGCAACCGTGACTGCTGGGCGGAGTAGCTGTTGTTGCAGGAGCAAGCCGTGACTGCTGGCGGAGTAGCTGTTGTTGCAGGAGCAGCCGTGACTGCTGGCGGAGTAGTTGTTGTTGCAGGAGCAACCGTGACTGCTGCGGAGTAGCAGTTGTTGCAGGAGCAGCCGTGACTGCTGGCGGAGTAGCTGTTGTTGCAGGAGCAACCGTGACTGCTGGCGGAAGTAGCTGTTTGTGCGGAGCAGCCGTGACTGCTGGCGGAAGTAGCTGTTGTTGCAGGGAGCAGCCGTGACTGCTGGCGGAGTAGCTGTTGTTGCGGGAGCAACCGTGACTGCTGGCGGAGTAGCTGTTGTTGCAGGAGCAGCTGTGACTGCTGGCGGAGTAGCTGTTGTTGCAGGAGCAGCCGTGACTGCTGGCGGAAGTAGCTGTTGTTGCAGGAGCAGCCGTGACTGCTGGCGAGTAGCTGTTGTTGCAGGAGCAGCCGTGACTGCTGGCGGAGTAGCTGTTGTTGCAGGAGCAGCCGTGACTGCTGGCGGAGTAGCTGTTGTTGCAGGAGCAGCCGTGACTGCTGGCGGAGTAGCTGTTGTTGCAGGAGCAGCCGTGACTGCTGGCGGAGAGTAGCTGTTGTTGCAGGAGCAACCGTGACTGCTGGCGGAGTAGCTGTTGTTGCGGAGCAGCCTGTGACTGCTGGCGGAGTAGCTGTGTTGCAGGAGCAGCCGTGACTGCTGGCGGAGTAGCTGTTGTTGCAGGAGCAGCCTGTGACTGCTGGCGGAGTAGCTTGTTGTTGCAGGAGCAGCCGTGACTGCTGGCGGAGTAGCTGTTGTTGCAGGAGCAGCCGTGACTGCTGGCGAGTAGTGTTGTTGCAGGAGCAGCCGTGACTGCTGGCGGAGTAGCTGTTGTTGCAGGAGCAGCCGTGACTGCTGGCGGAGTAGCTGTTGTCTGCAGGGAGCACCCGTGACTGCTGGCGGAGTAGCTGTCTGTTGCAGGAGCAACCGTGACTGCTGGCGGAGTAGCTGTTGTTGCAGGAGCAACCGTGACTGCTGGCGAAGTAGCTGTTGTTGCAGGAGCAACCGTGACTGCTAGGCGGAGGTAGCTGTTGTTGCAAGAGCAAACCGTGACCTGATGCGGAGTAGCTGTTGTTGCAGGAGCAACCGTGACTGCTGGCGGAGTAGTTGTTGTTGCAGGAGCAACCGTGACTGCTGGCGGAGTAGCTGTTGCTGCAAGAGCAACCGTGACTGCTGGCGGAGTAGCTGTTGTTGCAGGAGCAGCCGTGACTGCTGGCGGAGTAGCTGTTGCTGCAAGAGCAACCGTGACTGCTGGCGGAGTAGCTGTTGCTGCAAGAGCAACCGTGACTGCAGGCGGAGTAGCTGTTGCTGCAAGAGCAACCGTGACTGCAGGCGGAGTAGCTGTTGCTGCAAGAGCAACCGTGACTGCAGGCGGAGTAGCTGTTGCTGCAAGAGCAACCGTGACTGCAGGCGGAGTAGCTGTTGCTGCAAGAGCAACCGTGACTGCTGGCGGAGTAGCTGTTGCTGCAAGAGCAACCGTGACTGCAGGCGGAGTAGCTGTTGCTGCAAGAGCAACCGTGACTGCAGGCGGAGTAGCTGTTGCTGCAAGAGCAACCGTGACTGCAGGCGGAGTAGCTGTTGTTGCAGGAGCAACCGTGACTGCAGGCGGAGTAGCTGTTGCTGCAAGAGCAACCGTGACTGCTGGCGGAGTAGCTGTTGCTGCAAGAGCAACCGTGACTGCAGGCGGAGTAGCTGTTGCTGCAAGAGCAACCGTGACTGCAGGCGGAGTAGCTGTTGTTGCAGGAGCAACCGTGACTGCTGGCGGAGTAGCTGTTGCTGCAAGAGAAACAAATCTATCTACATCTATTTATCGACACATAAACAGCCACATCAACGATGAACGTACTTATCTTTAACGCCATTAACGTTTGTCTTCAGCTCCAAGAATTCCTTATTACATTTCTTAGTGTTGGGGTTGAAGGTCAAGCAGGAAAATCCGATCATCGTACCACTAGGTGTCTGTTGCGGGCAAGAAAGGGATCAGAGGAGTAGGTTGAAAAATGGAAGTTTAGGATTTCACCGTATGATATTTGTAAGTATTTATACATTTTCCTGTCTATCTGTAACTCTCCCTCTCTCGTTTTCTCTCCTCCTGGCCCTCACCCTTTCTTTTCTATTTTTTGCTTGCATCTCTCTCTCTCTCTCTCTCTCTCTCTCTCTCTCTCTCTCTCTCTCCCCTCTCTCTCTCTCTCTCCCCCCTCTCTCTCTCTCTCTCTCTTTCAACATTTTTTTTCCTCTCACCTCCACTTTCTGCTTGCATTTCTCTTTTTCTCCATTGTTCTTGCTGTATATGAGAGCCACCTGATTGTAATCCAAGGTAAGCGTGTTGCTACACACCTGCTGAACGACTGCAGACAAAAAGCCACAGGGGATTTATGTATCTATTGCCTCCCATTAATAATGATGATGATGGTGAAGATCATCAACAGGAAAGATACATATACAAAGGCAGTTCTAATACACTAATGAGGAAACAATAATTTCACGAACATTAACGAGAAAGACAATGGTGGTAATTATGAATAAAACGTTTGCAATAAAATCAAATGTTAAGATGAACAAAATAGATTTGATAATGATAGTAATAATGTCAATGGTAGTAATAGTAATAAAAATAACGAGAAACAAATAACAACGGCAACAGCAGTAACGATAATAGCAATAATGTTAATGATGGTGATGATTTAAATTATCTTAATGATTATCTTGATGCTGATAATGATAAAAGCAGTCCTGATAACGATAATAACGATAAAGATAGTAATAACAGATTTTTTTATGATAAAGGCAATGGTGATATCAACATCAATACCGATAACGACAATACTAATATTAATACTACTAATAATAGTAGGAATGATAATACTACTGTTACTATTAATGATGATAATAATGACAACGATAACATTAATATTAATAATGATAATCATAGTAATGATAATAATATAACAATGCTAATACCAATAGTGATAATAACAAAAAATGATAACCAACGACAATGAGGAAGAGGAAAGGAAAAGTAATCTTAATGATAGTTGTAATGATTATGCTCCAAAATGACGATGGTGATTATAAGGCAAATAATAGTATTTGATGAATTTTACATCCAAAGTGATATCGTCCACACATATTGCAATTGGAAGGATTGCGTAATATTTCCACAAATTGTGCATCATTAGGCTACAAAGCAAATTAATTTCTCTCACTGTTCACTGTTCCGTCCGTTGCTCCACTTCCGCCTTGTCTGGTATTAAGTCTTCTCTTTATCAATGCTGTTTTCTTGGGCCTTCTACCTCTTATTTTGGCCTCTTTTCCTTTTTGCGTTTTACCTCTTCCTCTCTTGGTTGATGTTTGTTTGCTTTTCCCTGGCTTTCTCTCTCTGTCCTTCTTTTTTTGTTTTGAATGTTCCCCTGTTTTTTCTTTCTTGTACATTTTATTATTCCTCTTCTTATTGCCTGAATCCTTATCTTTTCTACTTCTGCCAGGATTTTCAGACTTTTCCTCATCTTTACGTTTTGTCTCTTTATCTCCTTTCTCCTTTTCCAGACTTTGACCTTTGTTTCCGTTTTTCTCTTTCCTTCCTCCAGACTGCTTGTTTTTCTTCTTTGTGTGTTTTCTGTCATTTTTCTCTTCCTGTGATAGTTGCTTATTAGACTTAGGTCCGTTTTCACTATTTTGCTTACCTTTATCAAGTTTCTTTCGGTCAGTCTGCCCTTCTTTATTGCCTATACCATCATTACGTTTGTCTTCAGCATCGTTAGTCTTCTTTCTATCTATTTTACCTTTAATGATTTCCTCCTCGTTCGCCTGGCCATTCTTACTGCCTCCTCTGCGTTTGTTGTTGGTATTGTCGACATCTCTGTCCTTTTCTCCTCTCTGATTTTCCTTTCCTTCCATCAGGCGATTCCTCATGTCTCCGCTACCTTCAACAGTGCAAATTTTACAAAGAAATCCTGCAGAACACTGATTCTTCTTGATTTGACGGCGTTTGTATTTTATTGTCATGCTGTTGGAGGAAATGATGATATTCTCCGGCTTCATCGTCGTGCAGTACTTAACCCTGCAGTTAAAGTGGCAAAAAGATATCAGTGAGAACGAATGATTTCACAACTAGCTTGTTTTGATGTTACTGTTTAGTTCTGTTCTAAATTGAGTATCGTAATGCGACTTTAACTTTTCTTGCAGGCAATTCGTTTCCATCCACACACATACATACACACATACACATATTGTCTAATTGCTGTTTATCACTAGTGCGTTTGTTATTATAGAGACGTGGCTAAACCGCCTATCTCGGTTAATGGCGGTAAGTCCCTTAAAGCCCAGAATGATGTTTCTTTGCCAATCAGTATTTCTACTACTGTGCATGTACAGCCGTCATTAGTCCGTTAAGGATTATCGTTACCGGAAGAAAAGATATGGTATAATAGAGTTTATATATGAAACCCATTCTAGGGCCTTATGTTCTTCATGAGGATAAGTCCGATATGCGAAGCTGAGCCTCGCCCGGGCTATACCCATGAGGGGAGCCCGGCCTGTGTCGACTTAGCCGACTCGCTAATGTGTATCAGCTGGTGCTGACTCGGGTGAGCTTAGTCCTTACCCGCCGTGGTGCCCAACCACAGCAGTAACCTGCAGGCGACAATTGCAACTTCTCGCGCCTGGGCGGGGCGCGAACCGCCGACCCCTCGGATGAGAGGCCGACACGTTACCAATGTAGGAGGCTTATCTTCTTCATGAGGATAAGTCCGATATGCGAAGCTGAGCCTCGCCCGGGCTATACCCATGAGGGGAGCCCGGCCTGTGTCGACTTAGCCGACTCGCTAATGTGTATCAGCTGGTGCTGACTCGGGTGAGCTTAGTCCTTACCCGCCGTGGTGCCCAACCACAGCAGTAACCTGCAGGCGACAATTGCAACTTCTCGCGCCTGGGCGGGGCGCGAACCGCCGACCCCTCGGATGAGAGGCCGACACGTTACCAATGTAGGAGGCTTATCTTCTTCATGAGGATAAGTCCGATATGCGAAGCTGAGCCTCGCCCGGGCTATACCCATGAGGGGAGCCCGGCCTGTGTCGACTTAGCCGACTCGCTAATGTGTATCAGCTGGTGCTGACTCGGGTGAGCTTAGTCCTTACCCGCCGTGGTGCCCAACCACAGCAGTAACCTGCAGGCGACAATTGCAACTTCTCGCGCCTGGGCGGGGCGCGAACCGCCGACCCCTCGGATGAGAGGCCGACACGTTACCAATGTAGGAGGCTTATCTTCTTCATGAGGATAAGTCCGATATGCGAAGCTGAGCCTCGCCCGGGCTATACCCATGAGGGGAGCCCGGCCTGTGTCGACTTAGCCGACTCGCTAATGTGTATCAGCTGGTGCTGACTCGGGTGAGCTTAGTCCTTACCCGCCGTGGTGCCCAACCACAGCAGTAACCTGCAGGCGACAATTGCAACTTCTCGCGCCTGGGCGGGGCGCGAACCGCCGACCCCTCGGATGAGAGGCCGACACGTTACCAATGTAGGAGGCTTATCTTCTTCATGAGGATAAGTCCGATATGCGAAGCTGAGCCTCGCCCGGGCTATACCCATGAGGGGAGCCCGGCCTGTGTCGACTTACAAGTATTTTTGACAACCTAACTATACCAAATAAAAATACATTTGTCCGAATTAAACATAAAACGCTAAGCTATTTGACAAGGTACACATATTAATAGTACTGTACGAGAAAGGAATAAAAGTAAATCAGATTTTCGTGACATAACATTTCAGGGGGGACTACACTACACTCTCTCTTTCTCTCTCACACACACATATATAAATATATTTCCATATATATATATACATAGCTACAAATATGTATCCATAAATATGTATATACATACAATATAATCATATATAAATGCACATACTTACATACATAGATATATGAATTGCGTGTGTGCGTATATGCATACATATATATGTATGTATATATTTACATATACAAACACACACATGCCATATATGTATATGTATATATACATACACACATAGACGTGTATATATGTATATGTATATAGATAAATGAATCTATCTACCAATATATATTTATTTATATACACACATGCACACCTATTAATGCTATTCTGTATAAACATTTATTCCTGAAATAAACACGATGAACGTACTTATCTTTAACGCCATTAACCTTTGTCCTCAGCTCCAAGAATTCCTTATTACATTTCTTAGTGTTGGGGTCGAAGGCCAAGCAGGAAAATCCGATCATTGTGCCAGTAGGTGTCTGTTGCGGGCAAGAAAGGAATCAGAAGAGTAGGCAGGGAAATGGAAATTTAGGATGTCACCGTATGCTATTTGCAAGTATTTATACACTTTCATATATATAAATCCTCATTCCTCCTCCATCTGCCCTCTCCCCCCTGTCCTTCATTCTTTATTTTCCATATATATACATACATACATACATACATATATATGTATATATATATATATATATATATATATATATATATATATATATATATATATATATATATATATGCATATGTATATATATATATATATATATATATATATATATATATATATATATATATATATATATATATGTATATATATGTATGTATGTATATATATATACATATATACATTTATATACATATATATATATATACATATATACATTTATATACATATATACATATACATATATATATATATATATATATATATATATATATATATATATATATATATATATATATATTTATCTTACCTTCACTTTCTGCTTGCATTTCTCTTTTTCTCCGTTGTTCTTGCTGTATATGAGAGCAACTTCATTGTAGTCCAAGATAAGCGTTCTGCTACACACCTGCTGAACGACTGCAGACAAATAGCGACAGGGTATTTATATATCTATTGCTTTCCATGAATATTGTAATGGCGATAACAATAATCTCACAAACATTAACGAGGACGATAAGGTAAGTATGATAATTACCACTTGCAATGCAACCAAATGTTAAGGAGATGAACAATATGGAAATGGTATTAATAGTAATGAAAATAATAGTAATGTGATATCGTCCACATATATTGCAGATACAGGAACACTGTCATATTTCCATAAACTGTACATCATTAGGCTACAAAAGCAAATGAATTTCCCTCACCGTTCACTGTTCCGTTCGTTGTTCCACATCTGTCTTGTCTGCTGTTAGGTCTTCTCTTTATCAGTTTTGTTTTCTTGGGCATTCTACTTCTTATTTTGGTCTCTTTTCCTTTTTGCATTTTACCTCTTCCTCTCTTGGTTGACGTTTGTTTGCTTTTCCCTGGCTTTCTCTCTCTGTCCTTTTTTTGTTTTGAATATTCCCCTGTTTCCTCGTTCTTGTGTCTTTTATTATTCCTCTTCTTATTACCTGAATCCTCATCTTTTCCGTTTCTGCCAGGAATTTTAGACTTTTCCTCATCTTTACGCTTTGTCTCTTTATCTCCTTTCTCCTTTTCCAGACTTTGACCTTTGTTTCCGGTTTTCTCTTTCCTTCCTAGAGACTGCTTATTTTTCTTTTTTGTGTGTTTTCTGTCTTTTTTCTCTTCCTGTGATATTTGCTTCTTTGGCTGAGGTCCGGTTTCAAGTTCCTTTCGGTCAGTCTGCCCATTCTTATTGCCTTTACTATCATTGCGTTTGTCTTCAGCATCGTTAGTCTTCTTTCTCTTTCCTTTACCTTTAGTGGTTTCCTCTTCGTTCGTCTGGCCATTTTTACTACCTCCTCTGCGCTTGTTGTCGGCATCGTCGACCTTCTTTCTGTCCTTTTCTCCTTTCGGAATTTGGTTTCCTTCCGTCAGGTGATTCTTTGTGCCTCCTTTACCTCTGGGTTTGTCTTTAGCATCGTCAGCCATCTTTCTATCATTTTTCCTTTTAATGATTTCTTTTTCATTCGCCAAGCGATTCCTGGTTCCTCCGCTATAATTGCGTTCGCCCCCTGCTCTTTTCTTGGCATAACCATCATGCTTTATTTCGTTTTCTCGTTTTTTCGCACTCCTGTTGCCGAATCCACCACCGTTTTCATTTTTTCGCTTTGATTCGTTTTTTTTTTTTTTGTGGTTCACATTCTTCTCCTTCCAACCTACGGTCTTCGACCTTGGAGTGAAGTGATTTTCAGCAAGATTTTGATTCTGACCTCGCTTGACCTGATGCTGGTCTTCCCATTCTCTCTTCTCGTCGCCGGAGGTCACGAAGGTCATGGACTGTGGGTCTAAATCACCTTTCCTTCTGTCATTTTGATTATCCTGATGAAGATACAATGGGAAAGTGTGTTCAGTTGCTCCCGTTCTGTCTCTCTTCCCCCTTTATATATATTTTTTCTCCCTATTTATCTCTCCTTTAACTTCCCCTCTTTCTCTCTAACCCTTTTCTTCGTGTGATTCTTTCTGTACTTTTTCTCTTCCTGTGATATTTGCTTCTTTGGCTGAGGTCCGGTTTCAAGTTCCTTTCGGTCAGTCTGCCCATTCTTATTGCCTTTACTATCATTGCGTTTGTCTTCAGCATCGTTAGTCTTCTTTCTCTTTCCTTTACCTTTAGTGGTTTTCCTCTTCGTTCGTCTGGCATTTTACTACCTCCTCTGCGCTTGTTGTCGGCATCGTCGACCTTCTTTCTGTCCTTTTCCTCCTTTCGAATTTGGTTTCCTTCCGTCAGGTGATTCTTTGTGCCTCCTTTACCTCTGGGTTTGTCTTTAGCATCGTCAGCCATCTTTCTATCATTTTTCCTTTTAATGATTTCTTTTTCATTCGCCAAGCGATTCCTGGTTCCTCCGCTATAATTGCGTTCGCCCCCTGCTCTTTTCTTGGCATAACCATCATGCTTTATTTCGTTTTCTCGTTTTTTCGCACTCCTGTTGCCGAATCCACCACCGTTTTCATTTTTTCGCTTTGATTCGTTTTTTTTTTTTTTGTGGTTCACATTCTTCTCCTTCCAACCTACGGTCTTCGACCTTGGAGTGAAGTGATTTTCAGCAAGATTTTGATTCTGACCTCGCTTGACCTGATGCTGGTCTTCCCATTCTCTCTTCTCGTCGCCGGAGGTCACGAAGGTCATGGACTGTGGGTCTAAATCACCTTTCCTTCTGTCATTTTGATTATCCTGATGAAGATACAATGGGAAAGTGTGTTCAGTGCTCCCGTTCTGTCTCTCTTCCCCCCTTTATATATATTTTTTCTCCCTATTTATCTCTCCTTTAACTTCCCCTCTTTCTCTCTACCCTTTTCTTCGTGTGATTCACTGCACATCTTTCTTTCTCTGTATGTATGTATGTTTTTCTGTCGGTCTGTTCTTTCTTGCTTTTTGTTTACCTGCCTGTCTTTCTTTCTGTCTGTCTGTCTGCCTGTTTGTTTTGTCTCTTCCTCAGCTTATTCGGTTACAGCAATTCTGTCTGTCAAAATCTATTATGTACATACCCTGCCTCTTTCTTTTCTCTGCCATGGTTCATTTTTTTCATTAACTCATCTCTCTAGTTGCCCTGTACTATACTCCTCCCTTTCTCTTCCCTTTTTCTTTTCTTTCTAACTTTCTCTTACCTCATTTGGTTGTCGCGAGGCAACTGATAATACAGATACCAACAACAAGAAGACAAACCGCATATCGTCCTGCGAATTAAACAAACAAATTATGAAAGTATCCCATTAATCAATAGAAATTCATTCATATATCACAGAAAAAAATCGCAAACATGGGTGATAGACTAGGGGAGCTCAAAGATGTCCACAGAACAAAGCATATGAATTACGATGATTTTAACCCTTTAACTGATTTCATAGCTTATGACATCACCAAATATAAGGGCATACTTTTCCAAAGCAGTTTAAAGTAAAAAAATAATAATAATAAAATAAAAAATAAATAAATAAAAATAAAAAAGATTACTATATATCAGTGCAACTAGCGAGGGGTAAGAGGAACCTGAACTCTTTCTTAGTTATCCTAGACAATAAAGTAAACTATTGTGCATCCATATGGCTACTCAAAATTTCACCCCCCACCCCTTTTATGTTGTCAAATGGCTACCTAGCTACATTATGTTCAATTATAGTATACTTTCATATACCATGAATTATCCAAATACCTCCCAATATTTTTCTATAAACATGTTATATATACCCTTACAGTTTATCTACTTCCTCAAACTTATATATACCCAAATGGCTACTCTGCCGATCCTTGATCAATGTAAAAGTAAAAATAATACTTATTTTCTTTGCGAGGCATGTCAAAATACTGCCATGCGTATGATAAAGCTAACAAATTAATTTTCTGAAGGAGAAAATTTATTCTTTTACGTCTAGTCATAGTAAAATTACATCCTATGAATGTTAAAATCATTTCGGAACTCACAACTATTTGTTCGACTGCATGATATATACAACAGGCGATGGTTACAGGAACCGGTAATGTTGCCAATCGGTGACATATAGTTGAACAGCGATATAAATATAAGGACGTATATGAGTTCTAGGAGAATATACTAAATACATAATATCTGAAAAGGGTCAAAATTTCACGAGGATCCATTATATAACTAACAGTAACCTAAGAGAAAGAAAAAATAAGACAAACCTGTATTCAACTCACAATGTTTGAGAGAAGCGTTTTCCGCCACCGTCGAAAGTGGTATGGTTCTACTTCAATCTGAAAACGTCCTCGATAGTTCAGTCACAAGTGTGTTCGCATATTCCTTATCTAATAGTGTTTCGTGTAAATAATGGACTACGTTCTCGTAAACCACATGGTTACAATTTCACCCCTTCTCTCACTCATTCACACACACACACACACACACGCACACACACACACATACACACACGCACACACACACACACACACATACACACATACACACACATGCGCGCACAGACGCGTGTGCATACACATACACAAACATAAAAACGCTTAATAGGAGTAGAAGGAGGTGGTGGAAGAGGGGAAGGAGAATTGCAATAAGAACAAGAAGACTAAAAGAAAAATAAGGAGGAGGAGCAGTGGGTAGAGGAAAATGAAGAGGAGGAGGAAGAGGAGCAGGAGGAAAAGGAAGTACACACACAGTAACAAACACAAAGATGAAAAGGAAAACAGCCACAGTAAGAAATGAATATGAACCTTTTCATATACATACAAGTATATACATATACATATGTATGAATATTTACAAACATACATATATGTTTATATATATATATATATATATATATATATATATATATATATATATATATATATATATATATAAATGTATATAAAGATATACATTGATCTAAATATATATATGCAAATATATGTATGTACATATATATATGTATATATATATACATACATACATACATATGTATATATATACATATATATATATATATATATATATATATATATATATATATATATACATATGTGTATATCTGTATTTATGTATATATATACATGTGTGTATATATGAATGCATGTATATATACATATATCTACATATGTTTATATATATGAATATATGTATATTTATGTTTATATAGAAACATATATGTATATATGTGTGTGTATGTGTGTGTATAACTGTATATAAGCATGTATGTATACATATATTCATATATATATACATTCATATATATGAATATGTAGACATATATATTTATATAACTGCGTGCGTATGTGTGTGTGTGGATGTGTGTGTCCATTTGTGTGTGTGCGTGTGCATTTGTGTGTATGCGCGCGTGTGTGTGTGTGTGTGTGTGTATGTGTGTGTGTGAAGTCACAATGCACAATATCAATATATATGTACATACACATAAATATACACACATATACAAACATATACAAACGCACGCACATACACACACACACATATATATATATATACATATGTATGTATATATATGTGTGTATTTATACACATATACACGTATATCTAAGTATATATACATTATTTAACCCGTCAACTGCAGGACATAGGCCTCTCTAATTCACTATTGAGGTGTTATTTGGCAATTCAGTCCTTGCCTTATTGGGTGCCCTTCCTAATCAACCGTGGTTCGGCGCGCTAACACCTATGCCGACTGTGGCAACTTCCCCTCCGACACCTGCGTTTGACTTCTCACG